AGTCTGTCTGTCCGTCTGTTGGTCCACTTAGTTTCCATTCATTTTCTTGACAACCATTGCACATACAAAAATTATGAAATTGGGTATCCAGATCTAGGTCAAGTTCTCTTTTGGGTACAATCATATCATTTTTGACAGAGTTATGCCCCTTGGACTTGGAAATTCCAATTTGGGGGAGGGGCATAAGTGTTTTGTTTTTTTTTAAATAAAACTTTTTAAGTTATGTTAAAATATTATAATTTGACTGGTTTAAAACCAATACACTGTATTACCGAAATTGAATCTCAGATGATATATTTCCTTTGAAATTAAATCTTATAAAGTATAAATACTTTAAAATGCAACTTACAAGATATACATGATATAATTAGATAGTTTTTAAAGAAGAATGAATGAAGAGCTATATATTATAAATTTTGCTGTATTTTTTAACCTTCACCAAGCAAGAAAGAGTAAGAATGGAGATTCAGAAAGGTAAGTAGATCTTGTAAATCAAATCCTAAAAACAGATCTAAAATTAACATAGCACATAATGTATTTTCCCAGAATACAGTAAAACTTGTTTAGTATGAACACAGATATTGCAAATTAATGGAAATATGTTATCTTGGATCCCCAGCTATATAAAGAATGAGTGCACTTAAGCTATGAGAGTTGGATCCCATGTTGCGAAATAAAATTCCAAAATTCATTTAATTTATGTTTTATAGGTATTAAACAATGTTTAAAATTTTGGTATATTATATTACATGAAAGTATTAAATAATGCCGAGCCATAGCTTTTGAGACGGGGCTAAGTTCTGTCTCATTTCTATTGTTATTCATATGCATACCAGTTTTCAACGACTTTGTTTACATAGCATTTGGCCATTTTTTTTTTGCACAGAATATGTATTTTAACTTAAACTTATACAATCCAAAGGACAATGTTGGCCAAGTTGCGGCTCATATATAATTTAAAAAAAATGTCCCCAAACTAGGGTCAATAGCTATAATTAACAGGTCACTGAGCAACACAATCATTGTTAAATTGGTGAGCCCTGATGAAAATTTATACATGCACATATTCAATGTAATTTGAAATATACACTGTACTATATTCTAAAATTTATTCGGACTGATAGAATATGCTTCGGACTGGTAGAACACATTAAGTCATCAGTCCGAATGACTGATAGAAATATTTGGTTTTCGGAAACTCTGAGAAGGGAGGGCATATTGCTTTGCTGCTGCCTGTTGGTCTGTCTGTTGGTCCACTTAGTTTCCATTCATTTTCATCGCAACCATTACACATACTGTACAGAAATTTTGAACTTTGGTATCCAGATTTATCAAATCAATATCTAGGTCAAGTTCTCTTTTGGGTACAATAACATCATTTTTGACAGAGTTATGCCCCTTGGACTTGGAAAAATTCCAATTTGGGGGAGGGGCTTAAATGTTTTTTTGTTTTTTTTTTAAATAAAACTTTTTAAGTTATGTTAAAATATTATAATTTGACTGGTTTGAAACCAAAATTAACGAAATTGAATCTTAGTTGATATATTTTCTTTGAAATTAAAATGCTTATTAAGTATAAATACTTCAAAGATGACAACTAACAAGATATAACTCAGATTGTTTTTAAAGAGGAATGAATGAAGAGCTATGTATAATGAATTTTGCTGTATTTTTTAAGCCTTCAGCAAGCAAGAAACAGAAAGTAGAGGCAGATGGAGATTCAGAAAAGGTAAGTAGATCTTGTAAATCAAATCCTGTAAAAATAGATCATGTAAATTAATATACCAGTAGCACACACTGTATTTTATCCTTGAATATTTGTATACTTTATGAGACATGATATTTATTAATACTTTAAACATGTAGAAAGTTCCAGCCAAAAAAGGAAAGAAAGCCCCCCTTCGTAAGGAGGATACAATTGAACCTTTACCTGAGGGGACCGACACCTCATTTCCCACCGAGGTCAACCCAGACGCCAAGACAAAGGATGGGAGGAAATTTACCCTGAAGATTGCCTCCTGGAATCTTAATGGCATTAGAGCCTGGTACGATGTGAGTAGTTTTGCTGTTTATTGCAGACTTGGTGAAATTTTTTCATCACTGTCAGACATTTGGTCTGACAAAGTCGAATGCTTTGTCGGACCAGTCAAACTTTTGTCAGACCAGATGCTTGTATGTTATTTTGATGCTGGTAAAATCATGAATAACAGCACCAAAATGTCCTTTATTATTTTCAATAGCCTTCAATCTAACAAGTGTCCTTTCTTGGGATAGAGAGTCCTTAACATAGACATAAATGACAAGATTTATGACCTTGCTATAACAAATTAACTTAGCTATCAACATGCTGCGTATGCAGCCATTTTTTCTGTGTTTGCGACCTTGAACTACGCATCCCGATCCCAACCTTTATTAAATGGCATTATGCTCAATTTTTTTCAAACTGTCAACTGGACTGACGTTTTCTTGAATGTTCTCGGTCCAGACAAATTCTTACTGGCTTTGCCGACAGGACCGACGGATTTCGACAAGTCTGTATTGGGGTATTTGCTGTGTATCTGGTTTGGAAACTTGAAGTACTATCTGCTTAATTAGCATCAGAAAATCTTTATTATGGTTTTTAAACTATGATGTGGAAGCAAATGTTCTGAGGGCATGTTTTAATATTTGAGAAATTCCCCATTATTCTGCTACATGTAGTTATATATCATGTTGATTATAAAAATACATTTTCATACTAAGACTTCATGTATAAACTTACATCCACAAATACAATAACCAACGATTAGAATCATCTCATAATTTATAATCAATTTAAAATTCACGAAAACAATATACAAGTACATGTATTTAACTTTTTGGAATAAAGATGTTTTTAAAGTTTTAATATTTATAGTAATATTTATACATGAAATTATATTTTTCAGAAAGACAAGATGTCCTACATGAATTCTGAGTCCCCCGACATTCTATGTGTCCAGGAAACCAAGTGTCAGGAGGATCAGTTACCCCCCGGGGTCATCGACAAAAAATACCACATTTACTGGTCCCCGGCGGAAAAAGCAGGGTACGCAGGGACGGGACTGTACAGCAAAAAGAAACCGATTAATGTCACATATGGGATAGGTTAGTGCTTGGGTTTGCATATCCTTAATATTCAAGGATGAACAAGAATGGTTATATTTGGATTCTCTGTTTTGATTATTAAAATAATTAATTTTAAAATTATAAAAATTCAGCAAAGTTGTTCTCTATTAAATCACTCGGAAGTTTGACAAAAGTTTAAACGGGGAATTCATTAATAAGAGGGTCTTATGGCTATAAAGTTTATTTTAAAAAGTTTTTTAAAAAATGTTTTTTGTACCGTAGCTTAAAATGAAAAATTTGTTACAGCTTTATGATTAAATTTTCCTGCACTGATTCAGTGATCCTCTGTATAATTATATTCTCCTACTTTAAATGATCCAGGTGTCGCCAAGCATGATGATGAGGGTCGAGTCATTACAGCTGAATATGAAGACTTCTTTATGGTCAATGCTTGTAAGTAATTCAGATGTAACTTTTTGTCATTCTGATAAATATTCATTTATAAGAATTAGAGATGTATTACTTTGACTTCTATTGTGCTATATATTTGCAAACCCAATGCATATTCCTAAGCTTTGCATTTTCTTTATGTTTTTTTCTCTGATGTACCAAAATTTACTTTTCAAAGTTAAATATATAAGAAGCTTTTGATAAAGATAGAATTTTTCTTTATGGAGAATTTGTTTTTTTAAATGTCTTTTTTTTTAACTTCAACTATTCAACCATGTGAAGTTAAAAAGATTTGAATACATTTTCAAATTCATTTGAATTTTAGATGTTCCAAATTCTGGTAAAGGACTGGTGCGGTTGAAGTACAGGACGGAGGAGTGGGACTGTGCCTTTACTGATTACCTGAAGAAACTGGACGCCAAGAAACCGGTCATCATGTGTGGGGACCTCAATGTGGCCCACACACCTGTAGGTAAGTCAGTTTGTTTTTTAACGTCCCTCTCAAGAATTTCTCTACCGATGGAGCCATTATAAAGGGCTTCAAATTTAGCCCTATACTTGGCTTTTAGGGCTACGGAGCAGTAAGAGGGCTTTTTCATGCAAGCACCAACTGCTATAGGGGACTTTCATTTTATACAGCCTTATCTGTAGGACCGGTCTCAATGTACCTCTGTTGGATTTGAACCTGCAACATTTCCTTAATAAGTCAGAAAAATAAAGAAAGAAGTAGCATTATCAGATTACAAAGTTAAGGGGTAGGTGTCTTACCTCTGATTTTCAACATTTATAACGGAGTTCAAAATTGCATGAAAATGGTTTTCTTATTCATTAGTGAGTTATATTTGCTGAAAATATGACTTAAAATTCTTCTCTGTGGAGAGCAGGATTTAGAAGTAGCTGCATGTCTGTAGCGTTATGGTTTTATGTATTTGTCTTTGACTATAACGCTACAGATCTTGTAATGCAAAAAAGGTGCAATTTACGGCGCAATATTTTCGTGCGCTTTTGGGGAGAATTTCTCCACTTTCAAGTATTGGTCAATCAACTACCTTTCACTGAAATTCACTCCCTAATTCTAGACACATTCTGTAGCCAATATGTATATTTTATACACCTCCCAACCCTTTATACTTGTCTCTACAGTGATAAACTCGATTGATTAAAATTATTTGTTTTATTGCTGAAAATTCACTTCTAGCGACTTTATTGCCTGAAGAGACAACTATTAATGGTTAAAAGGTTGATAAAATACACATATTGGCTACAGAATGTGTCTAGAATTAGGGAGTGAAAGGTAGTTGATTGACCAATGCCTGAAAGTGGAGAAATTCTCCCCAAAAGCACACAAAAAATATTGCGCTGTAAATTGCATCTTTTTTGCATTAAAGGATCTGTAGCGTTATGATCAAAGACAAATATATAAAACCATTATGCTACGGATCTGCAGCTAGATTTAGAAGGTAGCAGGAGTTATCTCTTCCTGTTTTACAAGAAGGTAACCGGAGTTATCTTTCCTTACTTTACATAAATGGATTATACTAAGAAATATTTTTCTAGAAAATTTTTGATTTTAATGTACTGTAAAAGCACAAATATTAGTGGGAGATTAAATTTCGTTGTTATCATTTATCAACAAAATTAAATCCCTCACAAAATTTTTTTATGACTATATATTGAATAGGGTTACTTTCAAAACAACAAAATTAAATGCCGACAAAACTTTTATCCCCATGAAAATTTTTGCTTCTACAGTATATTCTTTTGACAGGTGAAATTGAATTTAGGAAATTTGAAATTGACATTTTGTTTTACATTGTACTTTTGTTTTCCTCTCAGTTACTTATAGTAAAAAAACCCATATACATGTACAGTATATCCAAGATGCTGGAAAAATAAGATAATTGCATAAAGCTTTTAATGCATGATTTTCTTTATAACAGATTTAAAGAATCCTGCTACCAACAGAAATAAGACACCAGGTTACACTGACCAGGAGAGAGAGGGGTTCACTAAGCTCCTGGGGGAGGGGTTTGTGGACTCGTTCAGGGCGCTGTACCCTAACGCCCGCGACTGCTGGTCATTCTGGACCTACATGATGAATGCTCGGGCCAAGAACATTGGGTGGTAAGTCAGGAGAATTTAAACATATCATTGATTTAATGTAATAGAAATCATCAATCTATAAATACATATAAAAATTTAAATACTTAAAATGTCTTGGGACCCTGAATTAAAGGCAGTTTGTGTAAGATTTCATTTCACCAAAGAATTGATGAAAGGTAGGGCCACAATTAACAGTGATTTTTCTACAACTTTTAATAGGGGCCTGGGCCTTTTCAATTGGGAAAAATTGTAGACATTTGTGTCAAATTGGGAAAAACAATAAGATTGTAATTAACCTTCATATTGACAAGTAAAATAAAATAAAAAGTAAATGTTATATCATTTATTAAATTTATTTGCTACAAATTTTTTTCAACAAAATGGACACAGTTCTACATTTTTAATTTTCTTTCATTTTTGTTCTTTGATTGTCCTTTATTCCATTTTTTTTCCATAATGGTAGACATAATTGAAAAAAAAATCATTCGGGATTTCTCGCTATTGATCGCATTGAAGATGGAATAGTCTTGACATGATTTACAAACATATATTGTGGTGTTTCTCTGCAATGCTAGTATCTGCAGGATGAAGAAACAGTTTAATTTTCGTGAAATCAAGGATTGAAGCTTGTTGTAGAAGTACTAGTACTTGCAATTTACAAATAAAGCTTTGTTTAACCGATTCACATGCATTCTAACGATGTACTGATACACAAGTTTGACATCCACATAATCATTGTGTTTTTCCAAGTCTTGCAAACACACAAATAAACTGCTGTTTTTCGCTATTATTTTAAGCATCCAAACGACCAAAAACAAGTGCTTTTCATTTTAGATAAGTCATACATAAAAAAATCAATATAACCAAAACAATACGTTTTGATTTTGGGAAAAAAGCAGTTGAAAATTGGGGAAAAATCGGTAATTTTTGAGAGGGGAAAGGGCCGATATTTGGACCTAAATTGAGTGTAGAAAAATCACTGATTAAAATATTGTTTGTTTGGCATTTCTGGCATAGGTTTTTTTTCCCTTTGGATAGGTAAGTAGGGAATTTTCTTCCATTTCAGAGATGGCACATGTTCCTTATATTCTGCCATCAATTTCTGTTACATGTATACCAAGTTATGATAACTGCTTTTGTCAGCCATGCTTAAACGTGATACACAATTATTCAAATTCAACATTACACAGATACTTTTCGATAAAAACTGTTCAATCAGTCAAGCATTTACGCTATGTCCCAATTTTGTATATATTTTTCAAATGTACAAACACATAAATCCGGATGAATGTAACCAAATTAATAAATATTATGATCCTATCAGTTGCCCCTCAGTATGTCTGAGCTGTACATTAGATTTCTGTTTTACAGGCGACTGGATTACTTTGTGATCTCTGAGCTGTACATTAGATTTCTGTTTTACAGGCGACTGGACTACTTTGTGATCTCTGAGCTGTACATTAGATTTCTGTTTTACAGGCGACTGGACTACTTTGTGATCTCTGAGCTGTACATTAGATTTCTGTTTTACAGGCGACTGGATTACTTTGTGATCTCCGAGCTGTACATTAGATTTCTGTTTTACAGGCGACTGGACTACTTTGTGATCTCTGAGCTGTACATTAGATTTCTGTTTTACAGGCGACTGGATTACTTTGTGATCTCTGAGCTGTACATTAGATTTCTGTTTTACAGGCGACTGGACTACTTTGTGATCTCTGAGCTGTACATTAGATTTCTGTTTTACAGGCGACTGGATTACTTTGTGATCTCCGAGCGACTCCAGAAGGACCTGTGTGACAGTATTATACAACAGAAGGTCATGGGGAGTGACCACTGTCCAATCGTATTACTGATGGCGGGGCTCAAGTAGGGGGAGCCACAGAGATCCAGGAATAAAATAGATATGGATCATTGATGTAGGAAGAGATCTCCTGTGACTAACAGTCTTGTGAATTAGATGAGCAAGATATAGAACATATTGGTGATCTGGTAGTGTGGATTAGTGTCTTTATATCTATCTTAGATCTGCTTTTACACTCTTTTAGAGATTAGTGACACTTGTGAGGAGGTTGTACATAGTAGCCCCAACTATCTTTTAAATGATGGCCAAATATAGAATTATGGTTTTGTGTAGTACAAAATCATTGCCTGAAAAAATGGTTTATTTACAAGAATACACGTATATGTTTTCTGATGAAATAAATGTGAGCTATTGTTTTTTTTTTTACAAAGAAAAATTATGTCAGTTTGATATGATGAATTTTGAATTCCTAAACAAATTGATAAAAGAAAAAAAATATAAATTTTGATTTTGACACAAAATTTATTCAGCATGATGTTAGTGTTTATAACGATTTTTAACTCAAAATTTTGCAAGAAGTTGTTAAGAATTTTTTCTGAGTTTATACTAGACATGTTTAACATTAATAACAAGATAATTAAAAATATGTTTTTCACGAAAATAACCATTGCATGTTTGAAAAAAAAAAACAACAAGACATTCTTAACAGTACATATAGCACATTTGTGAAATTTAGGTCTGTGTTGTAGTAGATATTGTAAGTGAATGTACACAGTATGCATTTTTTTCCTGTAATTGCTGTGTTACACATATAGGATCGTTATTGATTAGTGATTTTAAAAAAAGTGTGTATAAATTAGTTGTATGTAATTTGTCATACAATGAACTGTTTTTGTTGTCTGTAAAGAGGGACATGAAAACCTTTTTTGAGTTGGCTCGCTTAGCGAGCTACTCCCTGTCGACATAGCCTTTTCAGAGCTGTAAAATTTTTCACACATTCATCAAGGTGATCCATACGCCAAATATAATAGTTCTAGCAAAAAATGCTTTGGTTTGAGTGATTGTGTAAACTTAAGAGGTAAAAACTGTATAAAATTTCATACTGTAACATTATTTATGCCTTCATGCTTTTAAAGAAATTTTTGACTAAATATCTGTACGATGTACAATTACTGATGTACAATTTCTGCGTATGAATATATGTTCAAGCATGTTAGGTAGATCTAATCTTCCCATCTGAAGTTTATTTATAATTGACCTAGAATACTCCCTAACACAAACACCTGCTGCTCTCATTAGCTGCAGCCAGTTGTGGTTGAAAATCTATTTTTAGAATCCAGATTTGCTGTGGGAATCTTTAACCTAATTATTCCATAACACTGACCACTTCAGCTACTGTGCTGAAATTCATTGACGTCGCGCACGATATTGGTGATACTTAACGTTACGCATATAACGTCACAAAAACGTTAAATGATGCAACATGTGCAACGTTATATTTTTACAATGTAACCTTTTGATTAATTTTTGTTCTTCCACCAAACAATCCTGTTTAATATTTAAAAAAAATAAGAAAGGGGGATATTTGTTCACATTGTACCATTACAAGTAAATTTGTACATATTTACAATTAATTTATGAGATTAAAAAACAAATACTTTCAATTTTGTCTACATGATGCAAAGAAATTGGCACCCAGGAAAAAAATTCAACACACAAAAGTCTGAAATCGTACTCCGGGCTTTTTGTGATTTGGATATTTTACATGCTAGGAAATCCAATAACAGAAAATAATATCTATACCATAAAAATATAAATACTTTTTAGCTGCAGGTGTATGCTAGTTTGACCAATATGGCCATGGAGCGCCATTAGAAAATAAGTTACTGTACACCATCATGTAAAATGGTAGGGAAAGTCCTATTTATGACGGAAAGTTATTTATTCTTTGCCCTTATACCCCGCACTCTACAAGCTTAAGGTTAATATGTTGTTCTATAATGCACACATAGACAATTTTGTAACTTTAAAAGATTTTAATATATATCTCACATGCCTTTATTGCACAGGAATCTTTAGATATTCAATGAGACTGTGTAATAAGACCACATATTTTGTTTCAAGAAGTTTTACAACATAGTACATGTACATTTATATTAATATCACCCTAATAATTATGGGTACATTTAAATTGTTCGTTGAGAAACAAGTCGATCAGTGCCCGAAAAAAACTTCTGTAATTCATTAATTTTTTCTCAAACAATAACATTTTAAAATCGCTAATGGAAGAATGTTTAATAATAACTGCTTGAAGTTTTATTTCGTACTATAAACTTAAAATTTTCACGTATGTTCATTTTTTTTTTGAGAATGGCGATTTTACAATCGCCTAATAGTATACGTCTAAGTACTAGTATATGCATGCATTACGATCCAAGCTTAAGTGGTTACTTTGAGTAAAAAAAATAAATTTTGTCTTCGGCAAACATATTGTTTGAAATCAAGTCTCGCCTACTTTGATTGATTATCCCCCTGTCGCAACGACAGGCACGTAACAACAGGGGGCAAGTGGCCTGGGGGGGGGGGGGGGGGGCTGCCATCCCTACTTCTTTTCCCAACAATACATATACTATAGAAAATGTTCATTGAAAGGTTGCCCCCACCCCCAACTTTTAGTGATGTAAGAAAATTGTAGTTGAAAAATCGGTACTGAAAAAATTGGCATTGAAAAAAGTTGGCCTCTTTTTCAGGTAAGAAACTTATTTTCTCTCTCTGGTTGCCCCCCCCCCCCCCCCCACACTTTCAAAAACGATGCTACGTGGCTGCAACGGTGTACGTAGGTGAAGGTATGTATGTGTGTTTGTGAGTTAAGTCGCTCGAAACACAAATGAAATAATTTGCATCGGTATCAATGATGAATGCAACCTTGACTTATAAATATGCTCTTCTCAATGGGAGGTAGAAATAAGTAAAGATAGAAGCCTTATGTACGATACAAGTGCCTGTGCTCTCAACTCTTGTATCAACCTTGCTTGTGAAAGTACTTTGATAGTGCTCTGTTTTATACTTTATTTTAGCTTTTTATCTTCCTTGCCGACTTATCCAATTTCTATATTTTAATATCTTGACTAAGTGTTTCATATTCATATTATATCATTGAACTGGTATAGATTTAAAACGGGCTACAAATGAACTTGATTTTAAACTTTCCATGCACATCCACTAATAAAATATGTTTTTCTAGAATGACTCGAATATGGGCAGTATATATTTCTTCAATAAAACAAATATTTAATTAAAAGCAATGTTGCTATCATATCATTTCATTTCACATATTTGACCTTTATTAAAAATTTGCGGATTCAGGGATTTGAAAACGGTTTTTCTATTAAAATATCTTCTAAAGATTATGATGTCTAGGTGTCATCCAATGAGATAACTACATAGCAAAAGGTAATATATCAAAACATGTTCAATATTTGTGAAAAAAGGTTAACGGTATTTAAGGTACGTGTATTGATTGTATAGATGTTTTGGGTTTCATTGAAAAAAATATTTTAGTATAACTCCAATTTTAGCAAGATGCAAATTTCACGATTTCCCCATAAAAAGATGGTTTTTATTTTAGCGAAAGATAATTTTAGCTAGGCCTATTTCATGGGCGTTGGAAGCAAATTGAAAAGAGGAGGGGGGTGGGCTAATCCAACAGAAAAGGTAAATCTCAAATTTCATGATCAATGCCGACATAATGTCTATTTTTGCAAAACATGGGGGGGGGGGGGTAAGCCCCTTTCCTTGATCTTCGGTTCAGACGCCTATGTATGTTTAAATGTTCACTTAAGAAGCTACGGCAATTTGAAAAACACGCAACTGATTGTTAGAAGTATTCAATTTTTACCAATCTCAGCACCTTCTTTAATTATGCCAAAATGAAATCGCTAAAAATTCCACTCATGTGGGTATATCCAAGATCCAAGTAGTAGTTTTACAAACCGATGCATGCACCATTCAGCGGTGTCGTAAGCGTCTTTGCTCGAGAAGGGGGGGAGGGGGGGTCTTCTCTATAGTCAATAATTTGAATAAAATTGAGGGGGAGGTTTGAATGTACTTCAATAAAAATTGCTGGAAGTGAGAGCTGCATGAATTGAAAAATATTCCATGCGGTTTCAGAATATTATCCTGAATGAAAGGAGGGGAGTCAGTCCTATATCTTTAAAGGTTGCACGATACCGATATACACGAAAAAAAAAAACGTCCGGAGAAAACATTACAAGCATTGGTAAGTGCACATAAAGACAAGATATGGGGTAGTACAATTATTTTAATTCATGTTAAAATACAGAAGCACAAAGTATACCTTTATGGTACAATTATTTCCAAAAATATGTGGCAGTAGTTTGATTAAAATTTCAAGATTTCTGACAGTGAAGTGCAGATAAACTGATCAGAATGAGCCCTCGACTATCGCTCGACAAATGACCAGTTATTCGACTACAAGGCTATCCGAGTAAAATTGATATCTCTATTACTTAAACAATATGTGAACTTGATGCTAGTTTTACCTCTTATGATATTAATTACTACATGTAAAGAATGGAGTATATGGTATTTGTGGACGCTGAAAAGACTGCAATATAGCTTTTCGTATTCACAAAAGTAGCGCCTATTTTAATTTTAAAAGACTCTCACATTAAACATATCTTTCTACTGCTTAGATGTAAAATACTTAGTATATAAATGTATTTTTTCATTTGGTTCTTTAAAGTGCCTGTCCTTTTCAGATTTGGCATTGAATCAGGACTCGGGATAAATGTAACTATAATGTCTAGTCTGTGCTACATGTACAACACTTTACTTATACATGTATTTTATGTTGTTTGTTTCAGTTTTCGAAACATACATGTTGGCCCTTTATGTCACTATGCTGGAGCCCGATTTAATTTGAAATTATTTTTCTCAGAAAAGAATGTTAAAGATCCAGGTTAAATTTGTTTCATAATATTGTTTTAGAATTAACAAAGGTGAGCCAGGGAACGAGGCAAATCTTTATTAGTAGCCTACTGCACATGTATGTTACATCACGTCACGGCGCGTCAAGCGAACCTGGGACAATTCTTTGGACATTAAACTTCTCTTACCTTGTAAAAGTTGATGCGGGATAACCTGAAAATTTGTATATTCTCTGCAGTAAATTCTGTGTACATTTTGTAGGTTATACGTTTTTAAGTATTCACGTTGATATATTACTCGAAATTATAAGATAAAATGATATAATTACTAAAAAGGCGCGATATTTTTATAGATGGGACATTCAAGTGGACACAGAAAAAATCGGCCCGCTTAATGTATATTCCCGGAATTATATTATATTGGTACTTGCCGTGTTCTACAATGCATGTACATTATAACTATACCAGAATTTATCATCTAGCCCATATGTTAGGCTTGGTACTCATAACTTAAAGTTTCGGTCCACCTAAGTTTACAATAACGGGACACGTGGGTCTACGACATTTCTTGGGTCAAATTATCATTTTTGTCCTCCAAGCACTTAAATTACTTATCACATCCTTTTTGGATACAATTGATATAATCATATACCAATTTTTATGGTATTAGGCATAGGATTTATTATTTTAACATCTTTTTAATAAAGCGCATGGACATTTTATGTAACGCTGGGACATCATAAAAATGACAACATCGCCGTATATCTAGCTATATTTTTACAAATAAAAACGTCTTAAATACATTTTAAGTATGATATTGTCATTATTCATATATTTTCCTTGCCATTGATATAAAATACTTGATATTTTCTAGCAAAACCACCTCTACACAACCATACAAATGAATTTTCCAATGCTCTGTATGTAAGTAACACGAGTATCGTGCGCGACGTCATGTTAAATTAGAACAGGT